CTAAAGCTGCCAGTATTTCTATTACAATTCTGGTTCTGATGCTTTGCTTCTATTTAATTTAGGCAGTTCTAATTCTGGTTCTTTGATATTTCCGTCCTGGGTACGACGTTAAACTGCATCCGGGTCACGGGTAAGACATTAAACTACATCCGTGTCCTGGGTAAGACGATAAATTATATCCAACAGCAAGGCCTCTGATCAGGAGGTTTTGAAGAGCGTAGAACCACCTCTTAATTGCTGGTGTCCCCAGGTCCACCCTGACCCGGGGTGGTAGCACCTGCTAGGGTCCCAGCTATGGGCAAATAGTTAACTCCCAGACTGTATCCACGTCCTGGGTATGATGATAAACTACATCCGCGTCCTGGGTATGACGATAAACTACATCCGCGTCCTGGGTATGACGATAAACTACATCCGCGTCCATGGGTATGATAATAAACTACGTCCAACAGAAAGGCCGTTTTTGGAAAAATAATGTTGCCGGCTATACGTTTTTGGAAAAATAGTATTACCAGCTATACATTCTTGAAAAAATAATATTGCCAGCTATATGTTTAAAAAAAAAATATTACCAGGTATACGTTTTTTTTTTTTTTAAATAATATTACCAGCTATACGTTTTTGGAAAAGCAATATATTTTTTTTTTAAAGTATATATTACCAGCTAAACATTTTTTGAAAAAAAGAAAAATATTACCAGTGATACATATTTGAAAGAAAATCATTTACAGAAATAATTTTTTTTGAAGGAAAAATATTACCAGAAATAGATTTAAGAAAAAAAACATTACCAACAATAAAAATTTTGTCGGCATTAAATGACCCATTGAGGATGATATGCCGTAAAACCAAAACAAACCAAACCAAATCTTTAATATTTCTGTATATTGCCGGTTGTTCTCTGTCGTAGTTGAAGAGTTCTCTCTTCCACTACAAAAGAGAACATTTCTGAAATATTTTTCTTTCTCTATTAGCAGTGTTCTATCCTTAAATTTTATGCATCCTGTTGATATGTCTTTTGTTTCACATTTTTTAAGCATATCTCCTTATCTGTAATATTCTTTCAATTTCTGCACATTTTTCGTTGATCCATTCCTCTTTAGCTTGCCTGCATTTGTTCCTAATTTCTTAATGCAGAGTCCTATATTCTGTTCCGTATTTTGGTATTATTTTTGTCTCCTTTTGATCATGTCGAGAAGTTCATGTCATCCATTCTTTTTTTTTTTTTTTCGTTGTCTATTTTACTTTGGAATGATCTCGATTGCTGATGTTACTAAAACTTCTCTTAATGTGTCCCACTTCGAATTTCCATTCTCATGTTGTCCATTGTATCTACTTTTAACGCTGTCTATATATTTCTCCTTGACATTTAGGGTCAATCAGAAGTCTGTCGTGTCACAATGTGGATACTGCCTTGGCCCTCTTCAATTTCCCTAGTTTTAATTTCTGTAGTTTACACATTGGAAGGTAGTCGCTCGCACAGTTGGCGCTGGGTATGTTTTCCAGTGTAAACTGTATTTCTAAATCTGTTATTTGAGAGTTATATAGTCAATTTGGTTTTCTCCTCTCTCTCTTCCTCGGCTTCTCTATGTCTATAAACGTCTTCGGTGTTCTTGAAACCAGGTGTTGGCTATACCTGATCATTTCCTATGCACCATTGGACATATCTTTCTTTCGCGTTCATTACGAGATCCTAGTCGAAATTTGCCAACTATGGAGTAAGTTTAAGATAAGGCAATAAATACTAATAGTGACAATAATTACAATAATGAAAATTTGGAAGATGAAAAAAAGCCTAAAATATTATGAAAAAAACAAGTTAACACTAAAATTAGGCATTAGCGTTATGACTTTTTGTGTAACTATATTCTTGTGTCATAAATCTTTTTCTTTTTTTTTTAAGCGTTTCACCCCAAGCAAGGCGGAAAGCCACTAGCACGCAAGGGGTTACAGAGAATTGGAGCGAGAGCAAATAGGAGTGATAGAAAAAAAGATGAAGAGAAGGTTAGGGGATAGATCAAGGCATCTGGAGACATTTATCAGAGTTGGAGATTATAGCCACCAGGAAAACAGGAAAAGGGGGGAGTTCCACAGGCTAGAGGTGCGAGACATGAATCTATTGGAGTAGAAGAGACGACTACATTTAATAGTTTCAACAGTGAAAGGGTGTGAGCAAGATGCCAGCCAAGTAGAACGCTTAAATTCATGAAGTTTGGGAACCGGTGAAAGCAGATCCTCGGAGCAGTTACCATGAAAGTATTTGTAAAAAAGACAGAGGGAGGCGACGGCACGTCTGTGAGAGAGAGATTGCAGACAAGATGCCAGATCAGGGCCAATTAAGTTGCATATCCGTCTCTGGATCTTGTCAAGAACCTTGAGACAAACAGAAAGGGCGCCCGACCATATATGGCACCAATACTCCATGCAAAATCGTTCAAAAATAATGAAAAAAAGTATTAATTTATTTTAGTTCTTGAAAGAGGTCACCCACCAAACCGAAAATTCGATTTTACCATGTACACAATAAAGGCAAAAAATTAGATTATTTCAGAAGCTTTATTATAGAATTTTTCAAATTATTTTTATATATGTATATAATTCTTAAACATAACATGAAGGACACATATATGCAGTCGAAATATTTTTATCTACCCTGAGTGTTGAAAAATATTGCAAGTGTTATATCAATCATTTTGTTGTTAATAATAATAATAATAACTTTATTTCATTATATAATATTATTATGGAATCGGGCGAGGTAGAACTGATAAGGTGTGTTGAAGATAAAGTTAGCCTAGGTGAGGTCTTCACATATTAAACGCAGGGTATTAGATTATACAGGACCCTCCTAGGCCTTTTCTACGGAAACCGCATAACAGATGACGTAGGACAAGAAACTATCAGGCAAGAAACAGGCCCGTTGAAAGACCTCATAACCACTATCAAGAAACGAAATTTGAAATGTCATGAAGACGTCGTAAGTGCCAACACTCTTTTCACTGCCATCCTATAAGGTACCACTTCAGGCAAAATAAAAAAAAAGGCAAGAAGAAGAAAAATGGTCTGACAACCACACTGAATGGACAGGAAGATCAGTCACAGAGACTCAAATATTTGCATGCAATCGAGAAACATGGAAAGGGTTGGTGGGATGTTCACAGCGACCCTACGACCACACTCGGTCATGGGACAGATGATGATGTCCAAGTACAGCATATAAAATTAAAAAAATATGGTAATGACAGCGAAGTTCATTTACCTAGGTCATCCTGAACGGGTTATCTTCCAATTCCTGCCATACAAACGCAGGAGTTACACAAGGCTTTATCCTGGGTCCTTACACTGTTTCTGATGTTCATCAATGATATCCCTGTTGTCATCAGTTCTCATCTATGCAGACGACACTACCATTTATTTCTGTCTCTCTAGTAAATGCGGCAGCACTGACTAATCTAACCTGACCGCTGCCCTTAAAAAGGATCTCCAATCAGTGGTTAACTGTGACAGCAAATGGCTTGTAAACCTCAATGCCTCCAAAATTAAACTGCTCTCATTTAACCGACACAGTGAAACTTCCGTGTCCCCTATCACCAGGGTTGATGTTTGACTCCGTGAGTGTGTCTCACTGTGCCTTCCTTGCCTCACGTTTTCCAACGACTTGAGATGGAACAAGTGCATTGAATCAATATCTGCATTTGCTGCAATGAAAATCGGTTCAGTGTCGTGCTATAAGGTTTTTTTCTCGTCAGAGTCCATCTTACACATCTACAAATCTACCATTCGTCTATCCATTGGATATTGTACCCATATCTGGTCTGGCGCCCCTGCTGTTCATCTCAAGGTTCTTGACAAAATCCAAAGAAGGATCTGCAATGTAATCCGTCCTGACATGACATCTTGACCTCAGTCACTCTCTCATAAACATTATGTGGCTTCCCTCTGTCTTTTCTATAAATATTTTCATGGCAACTGTTCTGATGAGCTATCTTCCCTCATGACCTGACAATATGAATTTAAGCGTGCTACTAGATTGACATCTAGATCCCACCCTTTTAATGTTGAAATAGTTAAATGCAACCATCACTACTACTCCAGCATTTTATTTTCTCGAGCTTTCTCTTAATTGCTTCCCTGATAATTACAATCTTCAAAAAATTAAATGCAACGTCAATCTTCTGTTGCTTTGATCCCCGTTCTTCTTTTATCCTTTCCTCAATCTACATGATATACAGTCTTTTCCCTCATTTTCACGCCCTGTAAACCCCCCCCCTGCATGTGAGTGACACTCCCGTCTTGCTTGAGGTGAAATGCTTTAAAAAAAAATGGTGTAGCTCAATTTCCGGTGCCATTTTGTCGACGACAACGAAACAATGTTGAAGCGTTGACTGATGAGGTGAGCGGCATAATCGACTAAACGAGATGTGACTTGATGCTATGTTTCCCACCACTGTGTAGCCACCATTTTTTCAAGCGCCAGTGGCTTCCATCTTGTCTATATTTTCTAATCTCTACCATTCGGCGGTCAAATGATGTTCAATACTGTTTGTGCCCCATGGCTGTCATCACGGCTCAGGTACATATTTAGACTATTTGCCTAGAAGGCCACACATGCATCGACGGCTGAGTGAATATCTGCAATGGTGGGAGGGTGAATCCATCCAGTTTACTGTTGCTTCTGATGGATACCAACAGACCAGACGACAAAACAGGGACGACCGAAAATACCGTGAATCTATTAGGGAAATGCTAGTGTGCAACAGTTTTTAAACATGATCACTCATTATCAAAAATCTAGGAGATGGGACATTGAGAGGGATTCCTTCTAATCGAATCAGAGCAAACATGTATATATGTATGTATGTATATATATATATGTGTGTGTGTGTGTGTGTGTGTAGTACGCGTTTGTGTAAGTTAATGAGTCCGCAACCTAATTACAATAGAAAGAGAGAGAGAGAGAGATCGTGGGAGATGAACAGACTGAAAAAAGATGTACAGACTGAGATAGATAGATAGATAGATAGATAGATAGATAGATAGATAGATATGAACAAACTGAGATAGAGAGAAGATGAGCATAGATATGAACAGACAGGAATGAAAAGATAGATAGATAGATAGATAGATAGATAGATAGATAGATAGATAGATAGATAGATAGATAGGAATGAAAAGACAGATATGAACATAGATATGAACATATGAGCATAGATATGAACAGATAGAAATGAAAAGACAGAGATAGATAGATAGATAGATAGATAGATAGATAGATAGATAGATAGATAGAAACTGAGATAGAGAGAAGATGAGCATAGATATGAACAGACAGGAATAAAAAGATAGATAGATAGAAATGAAAAGATAGATAGATAGATAGATAGATAGATAGATAGATAGATAGATAGATAGGACTGAAAAGACAGATATGAACATAAATATGAACATATGAGCACATGAGAACAGATAGAAATGAAAAGACAGAGATAGATAGATAGATAGATAGATAGATAGATAGATAGATAGATAGAGAGGAATGAAAAGACAGGCAGATAGATACATAGATAGACAGACAGACTGAGAGAGATGGAGAGAAACAACGGTAGATAAACATGTAAATCCGTTCTTTTTTATTAATCATGAAGTTAAACATGAAAAACTTACTTGTCATTTCATTTAACGCGACTCAAGATTAATAACAGGCGAACTGAGATATTAATTGACTGGCCGACATCGACCGAAATCAGGAAAAAAAAACATATTAAAAGGAGAAAAAGAAGCTGTTTCTCCAAGCTTAATAACTTAATCCTTTTCCTCTTCTGAAACCCCCCACTCTCTTCCTCTCTTTCCCCTGCTTCCACCCACTACTTTCCTATTTTCCTGCGTTTGTCATGTCTTCCTTCCACTCTTTAACCCCTCTACACCACTGTCCTATCTCTCTTCCCCAATTCTTTCATGCTTCCTCACTCTTCCCCAATTTCATTCCTTTCCCATTTCATTCTGTTTCTCTTCCCACCCATTTCTCCTCTATCTCTACCTCCTACTTATATAAAATTTTTTTTTCGTAACGTCTGATAAGTTTAATAACATTATCGTTGAACGAAGAAAGAAATTCACAATATTGATCCATATTTTTTTAATACAATCTAAGCTTTCGGCTTACATAAGCCATTATCAAAGATGTCAATTACAGCATATTAAGCAATATATATATATATATATATATATATATATATATATATATTATAAAATGGACAAAGTCCGACAATTATTTTAAGACATTTTTATGGTTATACTTTTTTTTTTTATAGATACAAATATTTAAGTATATTTTAGTATATTTAAGTAAAAAAAGAATGTATAAACATAAAAAAATGTCTTAAAATAATTGTCGGACTTTGTCCATTTCATAATGTGTGACGTCACTTCTTTACATTTGGGTACGCATCGAGCAGATATGAATGTACGAGAGAAAATCATGGAGAATTGTATTTTAAAAACAGTAAAATCGACCTTGCTAACCGAAACGCTCCTCTGTGGCTAAATCGGTAAAAGCACGTCAGGCTATATGACGGTTCCGTATAGGATACAGGTTCGATTTCTGTCGGAGGGCGCATATTTTCTATGAAAATTTCTCGGACATTCAGGACGGTAAATGTTGTTTAATACTATGTATTATAAACAGAGCATTTACTTAAATATTTGTATCTATAAAAAAGAATGTATAAACATAAAAATATCTTAAAATATATATATATATATATATAAATATATATATATATATGACAGAAAAGCCATTAGTTTGTTAAGTATAAAGTTGTCTATAAGCTTTGTGTAAGCTGACAATTATGTAGTGTCATTTGCAGACAGAACGTCCTATGAAAAAATACTAGCAAAATATTTTTCTACAAAATTAATGCATATACCACACATAAACTCCGAGAGGAGTAAAATGATTTTCGCGTATGGAATTTTTGCCTCTGATGTCGATGGCATATAACTGTTTTTCCGTCTGTCGAACTGTTTTGTTGACGAGAGTCGTGTTTTGCAGTTGCCGATTCAAACGGCTAGATTTCAAATTACCCCTTGTTTGCGGGAACGTATTATTCTTAATAACACATGTTAAAACGAATCCTCGCAGTGATAACTCGGTGGTAAGGACATGAGAGGCGACCAATTTGGGAGCCAAAATATTCCCTCAGCTGAGTTTTTCTCTTTCGGGAAAATGTTACGTTAACCCATTGTATCCGAGTTTTCATTAAAGGAACTATTTAGTAAGCATAGAACGAAATATGACCGACATTAGACGCTATAGGGTAACTTCGACGTAAAGTAACAGATGTGGACGCTTCAAGTCATTTCATAAACTATGATCCTCACTGAGTGCCCCATCATTAAACAAGCTTAACCCATTCAACCCGTCCCAAGTATGACTGATTAATTTGTTTTTTACGACTTATCAACCTTTTGCAAGATATCTAAAGCCGGAAGATATTTTTAGATTTTAATATTTTTTAGAGATAATTAATTATTTACGGATCTATGTCTTACTATTTAACCCATAGCTTGCGGTAAAGAAGAGGATATTTTCGCACATGTGAATATATCGAACCCGACTAGAATAGGAACACGGCTCGCCCGATTTCCAATTCCGAGCTGTTATCCGTTACACCACCCACACATCCAAGCTTGTGGCACCTGATATTCTCAAGCGGTTACCCATTACTGACAAGGCTCAACGTTGCTTAGCTTCGGGGTTTCAATGTGATATCTCTAAGTATAATCTTTGAAGAGTGCACCACTAGTTTCGACGGCAGCTTCATTATAACGATGGGTCATCATCATCATCATCATCGTTATTCCTATAAATGGGTGTGGTCGTAGGGTCGCTTCACAGCTGAGCATTTCCCTCCACATATGTGGGCTGAAAGCTGAAGAGTTACCCCCACCAAGTCTGCCAATCCCCCTCAAAGAGAAACCGCAGCTGATGTGGCTCGCTTTGGCTATGGACACTTGACCGTTAATTCCCTTGGGGTAAGCCCTCCGTCTATCGAGGCTGTGTTATCAATGCATTGGTTGCATAGATTACTAGTAACATTGGGTTACATGAAACCGTTAGAAGACATAAAGAGATCGGACATAATATATATATATATAGTTTATGAAAAACTAGGTAATCCGTATGGGTAAACCTAAGGAGGATAAAATCCAGAGAGCTCAATGTAAATGCAGAGCAAATAATTTAAATAAAAACAGACCACTTTAAGGTTCCATGTAATAAATTACTTCACCACAGCCCTTTTAAAAGGACTGCGGATCATCAGACTTTACTTCCAAACAAAAAATGAAAAGAAAATTTACACATTTTTAACGGGTCGTATTAAACATATGTAAATTAACGAAGTGAGGAAGTGAGGGGGGAGAGAGAGAAGACATGAGTGAGTTAGCAGATATTGGCACATTTAAACAGTTAACTTAACGGAAGTTACATATTGATATCGAAGGGGTAGAGAAGAAAAAGCCCATAGAGAGAAAAAGAGAGAAGAAAGTTAAGAAAGAAGATGTCACTAATTTTCTTTGTAAAAAAAAGGCTAGAAACAGACGCTGTTATTTTGTTTTATTTTAAAAGTGTTATTTTGGGGGTTCATAAAGATTAAAATGCTTGATATAAATTTCAATGTCTCTAGACTGTCTACAAATAATTTAATTTGATGTTTGTTAGACGGGTATCCTCGAATACGAGTAAGCCAACTATTATATATATATATATATTTATTAAAAGACATTTTTATTTATGTTTAACGTTGTTATTTTATAGATACAAGTATTTAAGCAAATGCTCTGTTTATGATAAACAGTATTAAATAACATTTACCGGCCTGAATACTTGAAAATTTTCATAGAAAATATTCGTTCATAGAAAGGTTCGAACCATCCTATACGGAACCGTCATATCAATGACGTGAGCCACTCGTCAAGAGGAACCTTATGGTATTCAAGGTCAACTGTTAAAATAAATCTTCCAATAATACCTCGTCCATTTTATAAATATGGACGACGTCATTTTTTATGAATCGATACGCCAGAGCATTCATGAACTGCTCGAGATTCATCGAAGATTGTAGTTTATAACAGTAAATTTGACCTTTTCATATGTTAAGGTTCATGGACGAGTGGTCAAGGCACGTCAATTTATTTGACGGTTCCGTATAGGACATTTTTAATTATGTTTAACGTTGAATATTTTCTAGAAAATTTCAATATTTAAGCCGGTAAATGTTATTTAATACTGTTTATCATAAACAGAGCATTTGCTTAAATACTTGTATCTATAAAATAACAACGTTAAACATAAATAAAAATGTCTTTAATAAATAAATTGTCGGACTTCGTCCATTTCTTAACATATATATATATATATATATATATATACTTGCCAAATTATTATCCGAGCCTTGTTGCGGGTCACAAATGTTTTGTAAAAAATGATTTTTGAGTTTAAATCATTGTTATATTTTGTGAAAAAAAAAATGGTTCATTTCAATATTACTCAATGATATTGCCGTTGTGACCTCTATTTTCTGGCTTTCTCCTATATTTTGGGTAGGAGTCATTCACTTCTTGAAATTTAAATTCAATTTCAATCAAGAAGAAAAAAATAATTCCAGTGGGAGGAAAGAGTTTTGTCCCCACCCCCGGGGCCCCCCTTTGATCAAAATGAAATATACTTATACAAGTACTCTGGGTAATATAGTTTCAGAATATATACATTACAGGGGTCTATCTTCAAAAACCTAGGAGGAGTTCGATCAAAAACAGAGAGACAAAGGTTACAACTTATATATATATATATATATATATATATATATATATATATATATATAAAAAGTTATGAAGAACTTGGTCATCCGTATGGGTAATCCCAAGGAGGATGAAATCCTGAGAGCTCAATGTAAATCCAGAGCTAACATTTATTTTTTTTGGAAGTGCTATCTGATGATCCGGCGACCTTTAAAAGGGCTCTGGTGAAATAAATTATTATAATGATACCTTAAAGTGGTCTGTTTTTCTTTTAAATATATATATATATATATGTGTGTGTGTGTGTATGTCTGTGTGTGTGTGTGTGTAAGTTTTAATTTAAACATTACTATAGTGGTTACTCGTGCTTGAAATAAACACCTTGTTTTATTTTTAATTTAAACAGTGTGTATGAATCGACATCTAAGTATTCGCGTAATCTTTATAAAGAAAATGTGCTCTCCGGCAAGGATCGAACCAGCGGCCTACTTTGTAGGAGGAAATTACCGTTCTATCCAGTGTGCTTTTACCGCTCGGCTACAGAAAACACCAAAGTTCAGCAGGGCTCCATATTCCCTTTTTAAGGAAAGTACACTCCCTCACAAAAAATGATTTTCTCGAAAGGTATTGGACAAAGTGGTGATCACGTCAAATAATGTACTCACTTCCAGAAACTGGAACTAAGGTCTGCACAACATTGTAAACCATAGGTTGGCTCTGTGGGTGTTGAAGAGACACTGATAACCCTGAGCAAGCGTTTTCTGCACCAAATTAGCTATCGATCCTAGCAGACAGGCTTACTCGGATACGAGATAATAGTCTGGCGGTTAGGTTCTAACA